CCCCAAACTTTTTTTTTTTTTTTTTTTTTTTGCCAGTGGAGGAACTTCCACCAAGAATCTAGAAAACAAATATTGAGTGCTTGCAATGTGTCAGGCACTCTGTCTCAGAGAGATTTTTGGAATAAGCATTCAGGAAATGTTTGGTGGTGGAGCAAGGTAATGGCTTACAGAGAAGAAAAAGTCAATTGTATTGTTTGGGCTATAATAGCTTTAAGATTGTAAGTATTATATATGCAAGGGGTGATGCCGAGTAGGAGCTAGAGATAACTGTCTGGAATGTAAAGGGGTCTAAAGTAGAGAGAGAAAACACACACACACACACACACACACACACACACACCATGAATCATCAACAAATGACACTGAATGAGATTTTCTAAAAATAAAAACAAAAACAAAAACATGGAAGACACAGTTAAGACAGAGCCCTGAAGCCCTCCATGTTCAGGACTCTGAAAGAGAAACAGTCAAGAAAAGACCCACAGCAGTGAATGGGGAGGTACAAGAAAATGGCAAGAATCTGAGTCATGGAAGCCAGGAGAAACACTTTAGGGAGATGAAAATCACTAGCAATGCCATCAAACCAGGTCAAACAGAAAGAAGTGGCTACTAGTTTTAACAAAAAGGTGATCTTCATTCAACAAATATTTGAGTACCAAGTATGTGTCAAGTGCTGCACACTTGGGATCCATCCGTGAACAAACATGAAAACTTCTGCCATCATGGGATTGGCGATCTAGTAGGAGGAAAGAGACAAATAATAGAAAGATAGGATGTTAGCCGTTGGTTATAAGCGCTTTACAGAGACGTAAAGCAAGGAAGGAGATTTCTGTGCAGGCAGGGGCTGTGATTATAAATCGGGTGGTCAGGTGATATTCGAAGACATGAATGAAAAGAGGGAGTGAGCCATGCAGGTGTTAGTGGGAAGAGGACTGAAAGGGAGAAGAAAAAGTACCTGGAAAACTTGACACCCTCCTCACCCCCCAATGCTTCCATTCCTGGAAGAGAGTAAGTCTGGCGAATATCTGAATGAAGCAATAAAAAGGAGAAGAGACTGTGTCGAGTTTCTGCTCCGAAGTCAGAAGGGGACCTTTGAGAAGGGAGACACCAGCTGGCATTGTGCTAGGATCATGCAGGCTGATGTTGATAATAAACTGCAAGGATCAGCAGTGGAGAAAAGGGCTGAAGCAGGGAATTTAGTTAGGAGGCCTTGAACTAGGTGGTAAGAGAAAACACCGTGAGTACACAGGATCCACACACATCAAGGAGCCAGAGAGGAGCTTAGAGATCGGGAAAAATATGTGGTTGAAGGTATAAGTTTATGAGTGGTCACAGGTCATCTGCTATTTAAACCCACGAATCTAGATGAGATCAACTACTAAGGATGGAGAAAATCTGCCTAAGGACTGATTCATGCAACACTCTAGACTTTGCAGAGCTGAAGTGGAACCAGCAATTTGTGGGAATAGCAGCGGGTCGCCTTGAGGATTTGATCCCTATCGCAAATGCTGACAGGTTGAGGACAGAGCGGGCTGGGGTGTAGCTTGCTTAGCAAATGTGAGGCCCCAGATTCAATCCTCAGAACCAGAAAAAAGAGATGGAAACTTACACTGGATTCGTGTGATTATCTTCAGAGGCCATGGCAATATTTCTGGTTGGAATGAATTCAACAGAATGGGACAAAAGGAATTGGATGTGAACATAGCAACTCCTGAGAAATTGTGAAGAAAAACGAAACAAAACAACAGATTAGCCAGGCAATATTCAGGAAGAAAGTGAGCTTTAGGCTTTCCTTTTAAAGAAGGGAAAAGACCAGCCTATTTTACATGCCGAAGGGAGCGATCTAGTACAGAACAAAACTGATGATGTGTGAGGGAGAAATTACTGCAGTGATGTCTTTGAAACTGAGAGCAGGAGTGAAGTCCAACCTCGCAGGTCACCGGGTATGGTTTGTGTGTGCTGCACAGGTCTTGCAGAGGTGGGAGCCTCCAGTTCTCTCTTGGCTTTTTCAGTGCAGGGAGGTGAAATTTGAGAAAAGTTGTCAGGAAAAGTAGGAGAATGAATGGATGAGGATAATGATGTAAAATTCTATAGCAGCATCCATGGCCCATTTGACATTAACTTGATTGTTTTACTTCTGCCTACATACCCAAAGGCATAGTCAGAAGACGGCTGGAACTATCTATGAGTTTGCTGATACAATGGAAAAAGGAAAGGAGCGGCATTTAGCACTCAGTGAATTCATTCATCTCACCCCGAGGCCCAGAGGTATGAGAAATGGCAGCAACCACCACTTAGCGTCAGGGGAAACTGTCCTTAGGGGAGGGACAGGATTCTTTTAGAGCAAAAGTGAAAAGTGTATCCAAAGTTAAGGATCTAGGGAATGTGGTTTCTCCTGGTAAGAGCTTTTTCCATGAAGTGGGTCAAGGAGCAAGTGGGAAAATAGAAAATTGGCAAAAGAGCAGGCGATTTTTTAAAAAAATAAGAGAAGCTCTTAAAGGTGCTGGAGTTAGATGAAGGTCAGAGGCAAGGTTTGCATCTTAAATTGAAGCATGTTTTTGTATCACTGGAAAAGATCCAGTTAACGGGGCAAAATCCCTGACAATGTAAGAGAAATGGGACCAATGTGGGGACCTTTGCAGAAGCAAAATCTTTGGAAATGTCAGAGGACAATAGGTCTTAGGCATAGTTAAAAATCTGGCCTTAAATCTTACGGAACGTGACAAAGGAGGCTAAAAGCAGAAAGGTTAGCGGGCTAAGTGGGGCAGAGTTAGTTCTCTTTGCCACGAGTCCATCTTCTCAAGTATGAGGTAAAATTACCATCTATCAGACGGTGGGGCACATTGCAGATCTGATGAAAGAAAAGGGTGAGGAGGTCAAGAGGTTGGAAAATGAATTTACTAGGGAACTGTGGAGTCTATTTGGCAGTGTCCAGAGCCCACCTGGGATCAGTCAACATTGTTGGCCGATTTTCCCCCACCAGGTCTTGCTGCTTGAGCACAGGTAAACTAACAAAAACTGAAGTCTACCCGGTAAAACGGAGGAAGCAAGATACAATGGGAGTAGGATGCTTGCAATGAAGTGGTGTGACTATTAGACCGCACAGTATGTGCTTCAGAGAGAAGCAAGACATGAGAAGAGTAATGGCGACACAAAATGTTATGAGCAAGAGACTAGAAGTCTGGATGAGATTAGAGAACAACTGAAAGGAAAAATCTGATGCAATGAAGCTAATGAGTCAGAAGACAATGAGAGGTGGGAATAGAAAATTAATATTTTGGAGATGATATATAATTTCCCTCAGTTTTAAAAAAGCATTAGCCAAATACTAAAATCTTTATGATCAAGTTGATTTTACTTTTGGTTATATTAGAAAAAGGCACTTTCTAAGTAATTACATCACTGGATCAGTCAGGGTTTGCTTGATGAGTCTGAGTTAATAGCCTCCGACTTGAATTTGCAATAATCTCATCATATGAGGGAAGGATATTGTTTTATAGGTCGAGTACCCCTTGTCTGAAATGTATAGAACCAGAAGTGTTTTAGATTTTTTTTTTTAATTTTGGGATATCTGCATATACACTGTTTGAATTTTGGACTATCTGTCCCCAAATAGCTTGGGGACAGGACCAAGTTTAAACATAGAACTCATTTGTTTCATGTGTAACTCAGGCTGAAGATAATTCTATGCAGTATTTACAGTGTACCAGCATTGTGACAGTGCCTTGTCACATGAGGTTCAGGTGTGCAATTTTCTACCTATGTCTCCTGAGTGTGCTAAAACATTTCAGATTGTGGATTTTTGGATCATGGGTGCTAATAAGCCTGAAGAGGGAAACATTAAAATTTAACAGGGAAAATCTATAAAATTGTTTTGACATTAAATGTTATGTGCTATGATTAAAATAAGAAAATGCCCATTCCCTAATTAAGTGGAAAGTTTCCAATGAGTTCTATTGTCATTAGCAGCTTTAAAGATTAAAACTAGGACACATATTTTGCTGTTACAAAGTTCAAAATAAACATAAGAAAACACTGGGTAAAAATTTTTTAATTCCATCACTCTGCCACTTAAAAATACAAGAATATAAACAAATATACAATGGCAGAAGACATTAGGCATGAACACCTGTGGTATATAGTGACAAAGTAATGGTATCATACAAATTTCAATTTATTCAAAAAATAATCAAGTATCAGTAAAGTAATAGTTGCATTTAGGCTTCTATTGTATATAATTAAACTTTCATTTGGCTTATACAATTCCATTTTCTCCAACTGGGAGCTGGGTAGGATCAAGGCCAACTTTCTTCATGGATACAGCAATATCAAACAAATAGTCATAGCACTCACACCTGTAAGAGAAAAAAGCAAATAGGATTGAAGGTGTCTACTGAAACAGTTCTCCAGGCCTAAACAACCACAGCTCTCCTCTTCAACCAGTTACTTCTGCACTGTTCCTAGTACCTATACATTTTCCCCCTCAGTTCTAGGTCAAAATTTTCTCATTTTGTCCCAAACAATTTGAAAACATGTAAAGGAATCACACTGAATCACGCAATAGTATCATATACTTCTCAGGAAATAAAAGAATTTAAAATATGCTACTGATACAATCTTATTTTTTACTGTGTGCCATTTTTTGAAATAAACCTTGTATTACTTAGGATCTGCTTCTGTTCTTTGTATCAAAGTCCACAGAACATTTCCAGATAAGAGCTGATATCATAAATACATCTCAATGAATCAATACACTAAAATTCGAATATTTCTAACTCGTAATGATAAACTAAACTTCAACCAATGTGACCAATCCAACGTTTTAGATACTAAAACACAGTTTGTTCATTTTCACATGTAGAGTGTGGCAATACCCCACGGTTCTCCTATTTGTGCTTACATGGTTTTAGCCTTCTCCCAGGTTTCTCCCCACACATATACTCCATGGCGCCTGACGAGCACTGCACAGGAGTCAGGGTACTCATTCATTGCACGAGCCATGCGTTCCTTGAGGTCCTTCTCTTCAGGAGTGTTCTCAACAATCGGTACCACTAACATATCATTGTATCTGTAAGATGAAGCAAGCCATTTTCCTCCATTCAAACAAATAAAGATCCTCATGTGCACAGGGCATCTGTAATTTTTTCAAGTTATCAGCCACTGTCTCTGGAAAGCAACTCCAAGTTATGAACAAGATGCTGCATCCTATTCTGTATATCTTGTAGAGACATCTGTATCCCAAGGTACACCTTGGGAATGTGGCAGGCGATCCTAAGGGGTGGAAATGTGTATGGTGTATCAAAACCTCACATAGAAATCATCAAGATTATACAAGTATTTCCTTGTATAATCGTAATTGTATAAGCGGAGATAACCGTAATATTTTTAACAGGAGATGGGAAATTATAAATCTCGATTCAGAAGCAAAGGAATGATTAAAAATATCATCTCTGCAGGACTCCAAAGTAGCCTGGACAGGCACATCAATAAATACAGGTGTGGTTTGTGCAATGGGATAGAAAAATCTTTTAGAAATAGCTACTAAGAGCATGATAATACTTTTAGAATATCCTCCAATGTATAGCATTAGAACTTCTTTTATTTCTTTCTTCCCAGTAAATGCATGCCATGTGATCTGAAAGTAATAGTGTTCAAACAACTGAGTTACCAATAAATCCATTCTTAACATCAAATAACCAATGTAAACTCAGACAAGTTTTTCTTTTTACACCAACTTCTCTTGAACTATTAAAGTAACATCTGCCTTGCCCACCTGTGTGTAAACCTAACCAAAAAATAATTTTTTTTAACCTAAAGTGTTATCAGTAATATCAGCAATTGCTCCTTCAGGACAGGCATAGACTACATAGCTGTTGTGTGATTAAAAACTTGACCGACCATTATTACTAATGGTACAGAGTTGCCTCTTTACTTCACTTTAAATGAAACAGAGGTAATTATAAAATATCCTTAAGTATAGAAGAAATGAATTGCTAGTCCCAAATCTTTCCTAAACATGGTTAGGAGAACCATGAACTTTTCCTCTAGTATACATCAAACAGTCAGAAATATTTCTATGTGAAAAATAACTGCACAGAAAAATAAGACTTGAAAGCTAATTCAAGCCAGTTCCTCCATCTCACAGACAGGCTATGGATCCTGACTAGTTAATGTGAGCATGCTGGGATAGCCCTGTGATCGGCAGTGTTCTTGACACTCTACAGACATGAGGATTATATCAGCACACGTTAGCCTCCCCTGGCAAAAACTAAGTATTTGAAAGCTGGTTTTCTGTGTGTGTCCGTGCGCGCGCATGCGCATGCACTAGGGATTGAACCCAGGGCCCCATATATGCTAAGCACATGCTCTTAACTGCTGAGCTACACATCCAACCCTGCATTTTTTTTTGAAAGACAGACTTTTCTCCAAGAAAAGCGTAAAGAATGGTAAAGCTCCATCTTTTCTTTCTTCTTCCAGTTTTTATTGGCCCTTTTCTTTTGATTTGTCTTAGGCTTCACCCCAGATTCATGTAAAATATCACTGTCTCCTGAGCTGTGACAATGACCTATTACTCATTTTTCAATGAGGCCAAAATAAAACTGCAAAGGGCATCTTAAAAGAGTTTTGGGCTGGGGTATAGCTCAGTGGTAAAGTGCTTTCCTAGAAGGTACAAAGCCCCATGTTTAGTCCCTAGCACCACAGGAACTTTTTATTCTTCAAATTCTGAAACATTCAAAATAACACATAAAAATATGTTATGAATAAGAAATAACATCTTTTCACTGATATCATTCTTTCTCCAAAAAAATTCCAAAGGCTCTCTATTACATTTTGTTCTGACCTCACCTTTCTCCACATTCTTCTGACCTATTTTTATTTTTTCACCAAAGCAATCAAAAGCACATGAAAGCAACGCCAGAAAGCCTCTCCTTCAAGACCCAGAGATAGAAAAGACAATATGGGGCCAATTTTCTTTAGTATATATACTTTTCCTATTAACTTTTATAATAGGTGTTTTCACAGTGTTGAGGAATGCTTTAGGCACACAATAAATATTAAGTGAAATCAAATCAAATGAACTTCTCAGTACACCAGTTGAAACATGTACATTCTATTAATTGCACTGACAATAAGACGTTGCTGTAAAAACACTTTAGTACAACTGGTATCACTGTCCTCTAAACAAGGCGAGCTATCAGGCTCTTTAGGAATTTAAGAAAAGTGATGGCTCAGGCTGAAGGCAACAAACTTAAAGTGAAGGTTTAGCTTGTACCTGGGCAATGAGGGCATGTTTCTTCCAGCCATTATATCCTAGATTTACGAATAATGACTACAATTTTTTGGGTGGTGGATATATTTAAATTTATCTACAAAGTTCCCGTTCTATTCTTACCAGCTGTGCCACCTTCTACACTGGAAAATTCTAAAGCTTAGTAATGAACTTAGTTGAAACGATTAGAAAACTTTTATAAACATTAACGTGTTTGAGAAATACTCAAGTAAATCAACATGAAGTCTGAACTCTAGTTAGGTTCAAGCCTCATGAACACAAAGTAAAGACGAAGAGAACTTGATCTCCATCAATATAGGGTCAAAAGTTTTTCATCTCTAGCAATCTGAGCCAAATTTTGTTTTTCATTTTGCTATAACAAACACTTCATTGTTTGTGCTGCTAATAAATTCCCATAGGTGATGAAGGGCAGCAGAAGCTTTGTGCCACTGAGAATAAACCTGGAAGTGTAATATTAAGTGGGGTATTATTTAATAAAAGATACCACAGTATATCATCATATGCACAAGAGGATCCACATCCTATTTACCAGAGAAGGAAAGATACTTTTTACATCACTTAAGCAAATAAAAAAAGGACAACAATACCTATAATACCCTCCAGAGGTGCATTTCCTTATCCCTTTTATCATCTCTTGATGTGTAATTTTAAACTCTCGTCCCGGAAAGAGAAGGGTGGCCATGACAGCAGCTTTAGAGTGGGTATGAATCACTGCACCTGCTCCTAAGGAAGGAGAATCAAGTCAGTTTTCAGGGAAGATAATCATGCTTTCTTTCTCCCCCTCTGCGCTATTGGGGAGTGAACCCAGGGCCTTTGCACTAAGCCGTAGTCCCAGACCTTTTTATTGTTTTAAACTGTGAGACAGGCTCTTACATGGCCGCTAAGCTGTACAGGCTGGGCTCAAACTTCAACCCTCATACCTCAGCCCTGCAAAGTGCTGGGATTCTAGTGTTTCGCCACACCTGCACGATGTACAGTATACCTCTTAGAGTAAAAATACCAATACATATACATATCTATGCACATGTATTTATATAATATATATAGTTACGGACTTTATTTTTTCTGGCATGGAATAATAAGCTGGTGCTGGGTAGGAGGGTAAATGGAACGATAATGGACCTTCTCCATAAGCTCACGTGAGAACCGAATGAGTTAAAATAGTTCATGTCTTTGTATATAGTAGGTATATTGGCTCCAATAAGAATTACTATCACTTAGGGAGCCTATTCTGCAAATATTCTTTATGGCAAATGCATTTTCTACATACCTCTCATTGTATAAGCATTCATGAAAAGAGGAGTACATTGGCTTTTTTTTAGCTTCTTAGATTCTGGAGGTCCACTTATATCCTGTTCGTTTATATCACAAACAAACATGTCTTCCGGCTATTTATAGAAGGAGAAAGCAAAAAGAAAGGCTTATACAATTGTCATTGAGAGATGCCCCTGTGTGTGTGTGAACATACACACATATAGATGAATATCCATACACACAAATAGGGTATGTATGTGTATATGAAATAGCACACACACACGTATGCACAGTGTTAATATATGTATATTCATGTTTAACTCACATTTTAAATACTCATGTTGTTTTTCAAAAAATGTTATCAGTGTTAAAAAAGTTTTCCTACAGATAAAAATATTCTCTTCTTTAGAATTTGAAGGAAAAGGCCGGGGATTTAGCTCAGTGGATCCGCTGCCTGCCTCACAAGCTCCTGTGTTCAATCCCCGGTAAACACACACACAAAAAAAAAAAAAAGAATGTGAAGGAAAAAATATTGACATAGAAAACTATATGTAATGTAATAATGTTGCTGTCATTTCTGATTTAGCTTAACTTTGTCCTATAATTCTGCAACTGTATTTCAGGGAGACAATACAAAGAAATCAATATTCCCAGAAGGTTATTACATTTTTTTTTCACATCTCATGAAGAGGAAAATTATAGAGTAAAACTTCATGTCTCCTGAGAAGCTTAACTGGTACCCAGAAAGGTTGATCTAAATAAGGTATATTACTTGCAGAGTTCTAAGGAAGCTTGTAAACCACAGATTTTTTTTCTTAGTAATGCATGTGTGTATTTCTCATTTGTAATTTTCATTGCCAGGGTTTATTACAGACTATGATATAGATGTTTTATTAATGAAGCAGCTTTTTTATTTTTTTTCTTGGCTTAGATAGAAATACTCTGTGGATGTTTTACCTAGATCTTGAGTATTACTCCAGCATTAACGTAGAATGTGATTTCTCAATGATAATGACTTTTTATTAGGATTAAGACTATGCTGTTCACTTTTGCTCCCTACAGACTCAATGAGATTTCAAAGCTTACATGGGTTGTTGCATGGAGGATACAAACCACCTTAAAAAAACATTAGTCAACCAATGTTTGTTGATTAGTTATTTAAATTATCACAATATAACCAACCACCCTTTAAAACTAACATAACCTTTTAGAAGTTTTCACAAAACAAAAGTAGAAGAGATAAGACGTTTGCGTTTATAAAGGATCCCTTTACTATACCTGAATTCGTTCCTTTTGCACGCCTGAAGGAGCAATGTAGATTTCATTGCTGGTAACATAAAACATAGACAATGGTTTTTATTTAACTAATTTTCTGTTTCTGCACAAAGTTCATCATAGTCCAATAATTAACATTCTTTATAAATCAAGTTATAAAAACAGCTGCATGGTTTAATTAAAGATTTAGGCTGCACAGAAATAATACCGAACTATTTTAATGCCTTTGTAATGCTGGTGGCAAATCAAAATGCAGGTTGCTTCTGTCTTCTACATTTTCATATATTCTTATTTCTTTTAATGGTGCAAAATCTATGGTAACAACCAGGTTTTGATCTCGTTAAGAGGAAAGAAAAATCTGAATATTTAAGTTTTTAGCACCTTAAAGCTTGAATAAGCAGAGTTTATCCTCTTATATGTGAAATACAGTCACTCTAGAACTCAGTAAGGGGAAAATAAGCTCGGGAGGAGGTTTCTGTCGTGCAAAGAATCAGGTTTAATTTTATTGCTTGAGACACCTATTAAAAACTATGAAGTCCAGAGCCCTCTGCTGGACAGTTTCTTATATTACAGCATTAATACTGGATTAGCTTGCCTTTTTGAAAAGCTCGTTTCTTGGAAAACATATAGCAATAAGCTTAATATTTTCAAGAAGTTAAAAATATCAAAAGGATGGTTATAGGTGGAGATCTCTTTGCTATAGGACTTTATGTTAAGGGAGATGCTACACCCTGTCATTTTTTTCTTCAAAATTTAATTTTCAAAATGTTCCCTAATCTCTTAACCCTCAACAGGGTCCTTTGGCTCGCTTATCAGTTTCAGCTGCTGACAGTATTAACGAGCTGGGATGTAAATGCAGACCAGGGGAACGCTGATGCTCTAGCTTCTGCCACTGAAATACAGACACAGGGACACTGCCCAGCGCTTCGTAGTGAGAATGACAACAAGGACCTAAGGCAAGCTGTCGATTCTCGGTTATGAATAAACCCATAAACTTGGAACTGACAAAAATGTCAAGTACAATGAAAGTTTCTTTCAGGCTCCATTGGTAAAGCCTAGAAAATAAGTCTTGATAATGACTGAAATCCAATGCAGAGTAAGCTGCACGCACACATTAACTTTCCTGAAGCAGTGTTTGAGAGCCCTGAGATGCAGGGTGAGAGAGAGGCATTGCCCTGGAACCAGCGAGGATGGCAGGAATCATTCTGTAAAAGGGGCTCGTTGCAAACACCAATGGTCTACATCTTTGGTCCTTGCACAGCACGGAAGAACTCTAGAACCACAGGTGGTACGGCTGACGCACTCCACAGGTGAGTGGACCCACATCTTCTTGGAGAGGGAGCAATTTATATAGTCCAGGGGATGGACCCAGATATAGCACAAAATAACCTCTGGCAAATAAAATCCATCTACAAAGTAGGAGGACCAAGGTATTTACTCTGTTTATTACAAAGATTGGACTTGGTAAGTTTATTTTTATTACTGTCTTTATAAAGTAAATTTTGATCAACTTTGGGCAATTAAAAGACTAGCTAAATACTTTTAGACAAAAATGTACTAAGCCCTACAAAGAAAGAAATACTTGGATAAACTATAAAGATGACAGAGCTTTTATTTTAAGAGAGAAACATGCCAAAGACCAAAGTGAAATGTTTATTTGGTGCTGTAAGCCACAAATTAAAAAAGCACTTTTAATTCTAAGGTATTAATGTTTGGTATTTATTTTTATACTCCCTGCTCTTTTACGGTGTTGTAAGCAGGGAAACAAAACCCAAGAGTTCATAATACATTTATGTTCAATTGCTTCGCTTTTTATTTACTCCCTGGTGGTTTAAAAATATCATTTAAATCTTACTATGCCTCAATGATCTCATCTGTGAGTCGGGGTTATCAAATGTAATCCTTACTAATAGCATACAACAAGATTAGTGTCTCTGATATATACAATGGACCCTTGACTTACAAACTTGATCAGTTGCCAAGGCTGGCTGTAACTCAAGTTGGTTTTAAGTCGATACAGCTGAGATGTGGATGGTGACCCAGGTACATGCTACTGAAAACAAGAGGCAGATGAATCTTCCAGTGACCTAATTAATCCAAGTTGTTCGTATGTCAGGCTGGTCTTAACTTGAGGGTCCACTGTACATTAAAAGACAGCTTGACAAGCATAATAGACAAATCAGAAGGAGGAAACGGAGGCCCAAGAAAATAACAGAGCTCAAGGTAATTCTGAGACACTCAGCACCCATTGTGTTTAGTTTACGTCCTTGTTTACGTCCTTAGCACTCAAATTTAGAATTTCTCATTTTCATACTGTAAAACAGTGGATCCTCAAGTTACAAGTTGCCTGACATACAAACAACTTAGGTTAATTAGGTTAATGGAAGATTCATCTGCCTCTTGTTATCAATAGCGTGTACCCAGGTAAACATCCAGATCTCAGCTGTACTGACTTACAACCAACTTGAGTTACAGCCAGCCTTGGGAACCGATCAAGTTCATAAGTCAGGGGTCCACTGCACATCCTTTGGTATCACTTACCAGTAGTGCAAGCTGGAATGGTTTCAGAAAAAACCTGAAATCAGTCAGTCATTCTGTATATCCAAACAGCTTACTGTCATATTATTCTAGAAACATATGTCACCTACTGAGTTTGCATTTCACTCCAAATTCATTTGCCCCAGAAGTCAAAAACAATCACTAGCAACACGAAAATGATATTGCTGATAAAGCTAGTGAATGACGTGGGCTCACGAAGCATTTCAAGTATTAGAGGCAAACTCAACATTTTGCTGGGAAATACTCCTTTGTGTAGAGCACAGATTTAGTAACATCCAGTGCCCTCAAACTGGCTCTTTTCCATCTGTTGCCTGCAGGAGGAGCTCCTCACCTATTAAGAATCTAAGGGAAAAAAAAAATTTGACACTGATGCAATTTCCTTCAACTTGATCATAGTGCTATAAAAGCCATTTAATTTTAAAAGATGTGCCAGTAAGCAGTTTCAGTGGCCACACACACAATCGAAGTGCATGGATTAATGCAGTTCTGCTGGAATGAATAGTCCTTTATGACTTCCTGCTGGAAAAAAAAACAGTTTTTTTTCAAGTTCATGTTCCTATCTTTAATTTTGCTGTTTCATTTTTTTTAATAGAGCTAGTTAGAAATGGTTATTTGAGCTCAGTTTAGTAGAGCACTCTATTTTGTACATGTAAAAACGGTTTTCTGCATACGCAAATAAGCAGTAGTTAAGCGAAGGCAATACTGAGTATGATTTCTTATCAACAATATAGCAGGAAAACCAAATTGCTGGGACTCAATTTCTAAGTGGGTAAGTGAAACAAGAATAAACTGTTGTTGGCATAGGGTTAACTGTGAACAGGCCAAGTTGGAAGCTTTAGCAAAATAATCTAAAAGCTTACGTAAGGCTGAAAGGACACAAGAGCCAGCAGGGTAGTGGTGAGAGCGCACACAGACAGACTCACAGATCCAACATGCAGGGCGCGATCTCACTGGACTCAGAGCATTCTTACATCCACAGTTGCCCCGGCTGCAGGCAGGGGCCCGCTTGCTACTTCCCACTTTCAATTAATATTTCACAAATTACTTGGTAATTTGGAGCAGCTGGAATTAAAATCTCATCATCTTGTGGTAATTCCTTTCGTCTAACATGTTCTGATTTTATCTTACTTTCCATTTCTTATCATGCGATGGAGTCTCCCTGGGGCATTACTATACATATATGTAATCGATAACATCGACATTTTAAAAATCCAATTGTGTTCAAGAAAGTGAATTAGGATAAAGAAATAAATCAGCATCGCTCAGTTTAATATTCAGCCTCCAGGCAATGTTATTCTTAAAATATTTCAGGAGGAAAAACAGTAATTTTATTTTGGCAACCTGTGAGAGAATGAGACTCCACAAGCTTTATTCTCACTGTTAGTAAGGTATTTATTCTTCACCTTCTTGGAGAAAGATATTGATTAAATGTAATAAACAATAAAAAACTATTTACTCTCAGTTTCAATTTAAGTCCAATTCCTTATTTTGTTCTCTGAGGAATAAAGACTAGCAGATACTATGTCCATTAATAATGATATATCTGCTTAGATAACATAGATTTTCTTATGGAACAATAAAACCATTTTTAGAATTTTTAGTGGTTAGTAATCTATATTTAAGTGACAGTAAAATATTACCTGAACCGTTGAAACAAATCCTATCTAGAAAGGATTTTTTATAATTTCAGACATACGACTACGGTAGCATATTGTCTACCTTTGATACTCCAAAGACTAAGGACTAAATTATTCTGATTAAAATCTGTGGTTCTTAAATCCTTAGGTATTTATGATAATTACAACTTGACCACACGGGTTCCACTTATGCGTATATCCACTTGACCAGTTGGAAAATAAATGCCATCAGTCTCACACCAAATTGATCACCAGCCGTTCACTTGCCATGCCACAGGACAAGCTCCCTGGGGCCTATTCCAGTGGAGAATTCCTAGGGATGAAATCAGCCAGAAACTTACCCACGCTTCAAGCTAATCCCTCCTCCAGTCCCAGTGACCCAGCCCAAATGGTAAAACTGTTTGCAAAGTTCTGGAATCAGGTATCTTGGATGTTCCTTGTCCTAAAGAAGAAAATGATCTTTAAAATGGACACTTTTATTAAGTAATTACTCTAGCTGGCATTTCTAACAAGTAGTCAATTTAGGGAAGGTTAAGAAAATCTACCATACGGGGATACAGGGAGGGAGAAAACTGTACAAGTATATTTTGTTTTTAATGTGTAGAAAATGGATTTACTACATTGCTTGGTAGCCTAGGATTATTCAGTGTAGGACCACACAGTCCAACAGTATGGAACAGGCTGCAAGAACAAGGCAAGGAGGAGCATTATTACAAAGGCCTACTGAAATGGCTCACAGAAAACAGAATCTAGTGCCAAGAACGAGCTTTGGTCTATTCAGAAAATGCATTTGTGCAAAACATCTTATTCAGTGAAGGCATGAAATACCATGACTGTTTCGACACATGCTGTTTTGGTTCAATTTTATTTTAGTTTTTTTAAAGGTGCCGTCTTTTTTCCAAAGTGAATGTATTATTTTCTTTTATTACAAAACCAATATATGCTCATTATGGAAAAAAAACCAAGCAAACAGCAAAACAACAACAACAAAAAAAACCCACTCAAAAATCACAATTAATAGTTGCTGGAGCCATTTCTATGACAATATGCATTTACAGGAGTACTGTATATGCATAAATAGTGGGGTAGCATCAACTTTACATCTAAGCCCTGTAATCTACTTCTTTAGAAAAAAACATACCAATGCCCCCCCGTACAGTTTAATGAAGACAAGTAAAAACACAATAAGTTCCATTTTTCTCAGTATGGTTCACAATCCTTAATTTTTGAAAACAAGTCAAAGTGCTCAATAATTATGTTTACATATATTTTTAAATAAACAGCTGAACCTGCAAGAAAATAAGGTTTCACAAGGCCATTAAAGAAATGACTAAGACGATCTGGGGGGAAGCTCTAAAGTCAGAATTTCCGTATTTGTAAAGCTCAGGAGACCTTGAGCTTTGATTCTGATAGAAATCTGAGTTAAAATCCAAGGCTCGCTAAAAATTCAGACATCTAATGGAAAAGCCATGCCACCCAAGCTGGAGACCTCAGAAAAGCACAGCAAGAAGCTTGACTTTGTTGGCCTTGGCTCTGGGTAAAGAGGAAAAACATGTCTGAGTCCAATGAAGGATCATTATTTATCCAACAGACTGAATTCTCAGCTACTTAACTTGATACCTGAAATTATGGTGTTTCTAAATCTTTGATTCATTTGAGGTAAGTATTAAGAATGATAATCAATGTAAATTAGAAACATGAGAACCTGGAAGAACTTTATTTTTGGTTTTGGTTTTTGTGACAAAAAAAAACAAACAAACAACAAACTATGTAGTTCAGGCTGGCCTTAAACTTATGGAGATCCTCCTGCCTCAGTCTCAAGTGCTGGGCTTATAGGTGTGCGTAACCTCACCTGACTGAAGCCTGGAATTTTTTTTAAAGTTGTGGTTCAACACAGGCTTAGGAGTTACCAATTTAGTCAAATCCACATCATACCACTCTTCTGTTATATGACTTTAGGTCTCAGTTTACTCATCCATAAAATGAGAAAGTCACAGGGAGTAAAATGACATACAGTGGATATAAAGCACCCAGCACAATGTTTGACACAGTCAGTGCTAGTTTATTTTTCATTTTACAGGGTTAAAAATTCTTGAATTAAAATTAACTTTATTATTACTTTAAGAGTATATTACCTTATATCTGTCTTTTAGAAATCTAACCAAAATTATATATGCCCCATATAATTTGGGTTTTCCTTTTTTAGGGACATAAAGGATATTTTAATTACATATTAAAGTACAGCTAATGGGAAGACTCCTGCAGTTTTCCAATCCTTAAAAGAAAATTTGCACAGCAAATTGCAACATTATAGAAAATGGTCTGTTATTATGGGTCTCCCCTTCCCTTTTATCTTTTCTGGTAGTGAGGTATTATAGCAATTAGGCAGCTCCTGCTACAGGAATAACAATGATCAGGCAGATGTTGTTAATACATTTTCACTCAGTTATTACCATCTGCAAAATTATAATGAAAGGAAAATAATCAGATAACAGGGACCAAAAGAGGAAATGCAGTCATTTAAATAATTCAGAATCAGAAAGTAAAATCTGGGATAGATATATGTATCTATATATAGATATAGATATATACACAAGAAATAACAAAAATAAAACTTTTTCTGTTATGGTTAGATCTGGTTTTCAGTCAGAATATGAAATTTGTATATACAACTACTGATTGATTTACAACAGAGGTTCTATAGTGAGAAACATATTTAATGGTACTTAGTATATATTAAAAATTTAAAAACCTGAAAGGTTTTTGATTCTCTGCTTCATTTTTCCCATTTTTCAATCTAGTTATTTTAAGGAAATCAGCGTTGTCACTGAGATATCGATTCGCAGTCAACTTGGGTTGTAATTCCCTCCCCAACCCTATATTTTTTTTAACTTAAATCCTACATCTGTATTCCTTGGACATAAGTCTTCTTGTAGGGCTTTCACAGAAATATAAAGTGTGTGTGTGTGTGTGTGTGTGTGTGTGTGTGTGTGTGTGTCAGGCTGGGGGTATAGCTCAGTGCTTTGGATGTATACGGTATCCATCTTCAACACCACAAAAAAGGGCCGGGGGTCAAAATTATTAAACTTTTCAATTAATGAAGAAATCAGTAAAATGTAAGAATTGGTTGAAAAGAGAATTCAACACATTCACATGTGACTCATCAGGAACCCTGAAGTTACATATAAAATTGGGCAATATCCACTGGGTTACAATAACGTAAATCTCCACTGAAGATAAACTGCATCACTGCAAATAATAATCATCGGCACCGCTGTTAGTATTTTGTAATTTACACAGCTGAAAAGTAGCTTAAAGATAATCCTGAAGCAACCAGTAATCTTTATGGTTCGTCGTAAAATTTTTCCTGACAGTGGCCTCTGGAAGGGACGGATGCATGCGTGGTAAAGTTTTCAGGATTTTGTCTCCATGTTTCACCTTTGATCCTTTCTGTGTGTCTATCTGCATCTTTCTGCACATCTCTGTGCATCCTGGTTTTCTCAGAAATGCCACCTATGTTCAAAAGCCCTCTGTCTCCTTCCACTTTTCCCACACTAAAAAAACCCTTCTTTGTATCAGTCAGGCAGGGACCAGAAAGTGAAGACACGGAGCCTGGTTTCAGCTCTGACTGCCACACCCCACCGGCTCTGTGTCCTCGGGCAAATCAGTGGCACTTCTGGGCATCAGCCTCTGTCTGTTAATGACCTGGATCCAAGATTCTCAGTCTTCTGAATTTCAAAGCCAGTTTTCTTTTTTCTTTTTTTAATTTTAGGGAATGACATATGGTTCCAAAATCATGTAATTAATTGTATTTCATGATTACATTTTTTAAAAAGTATATTTTAACATAAAAAGAGTAAGAAGGAGAATGTCAGAATAAAAGGTAGTCTTTTAAATTGAATGCAATAAAACTTTGTAAAATTCACGTTTCTAGTGTCATTTTTTTTTACTTTGCAACAGTTCTGGTAAAAATTCTCTCAGGGACTGACATTGGCAGTATAAGAGAATCTTTTCCTTATTTGTTCTACTTCCCTGTAATTTCTCCTCCTACTCCAGCTTTCCCTTCATTCTACTGTGAGTACTTAACTAGTACCCTACTTTGATTACACAACTGCATTTCCCCAAATCATCTAATGCTCAGATACCACCCTCTTGGTCTGTTCAGTCCTTTTTTGCTCCAATTTAAATTTTCAAATATTTTCTTTTCTATAAATCTCCCAGTTCTAGTTAATCTACTTGTGGTAGCCAACCTAGGAGATGGCCCTTAAGTATCTCTGCCTCCTGACAGTCACATCCTGGAGTGTGGTCCCTTCCCACTATACCCAGGTTGATCTGGATTACCAACAGGCAACAGAAGATTAGAGCAGGAATGATTTGCCAGGCGTGGTGGCGCACGCCTGTAATCCCAGCCCTAGGGGGGCTGAGGCAGGAGGATCGCTGTGAGTTCGGGACCAGCCTGGGCTACATAGTGAGTTCCAGGTCATTCTCAACTACATAGCGAGACCCTGTTTCAAACCAAAACAAATAAAAAAGGAAAGACTGTAGCTTCTAGCTTGGTTGATTTCCCTCTAGGGATTACTGGCCTTGAGGGAAGGCAGATGCTGTGGCCTGGGGACAGGCAGGCAGCATCCACACAAGCCTACTTGGTAAGGACCTCAGTGAGGCCTGCCAGACTAACCTGAGAGAGCTGAGAAGCAGAGGCTGCAGGCTGCAGTCAGGCCTTAAAGGACCATAGCCCCACCTCCACCTAACTGCCAACTCCTGAGACCTAGTCAGAATTTGAGCTCAGCTGCTCCTGGAATCCTAATCCTCAGAAACTGTAGGGGGCGGGACAAGCAGCTTGTGTTTTCAGCTGTTAGGTTTTGGAGTCATTTGTTGCATAGCAAGAGATTACTGAGAAATGATTTCCTGCCAGCCAAGAATTAACATCTTTTAAAAAAAGTTCTGCTCGATCATGTACTATATCTCCATCCAACTGTCAACCTTTATACCACTGGCAAGTGATCAGACCTTCCTCCACATACACCACCAAATATGTTTTCTGTACTTTTCTTCTGGCATTTATCATATATTCCTTTCATTCATTAAATGCACTCATTTAGCACTGAGTGCTAAACACTGCGATAAGCGCTACAGAAACAAATATGAGTAAGATAAGGTCCTTAGCTTTGAGGAGTTCAGTCTGGCAAAGAAGTTCATAATCACAAAATGACGAAGCAATGTATAACACATAACAGCCAGAGCATCATGGGATCGGAAGCTACTGGTAGGAGGGAAGAACTGCTGGGCGGAGCTTCCTGGAGGAGGGAATGGCTGAGGTACAATAAGTCTTAAGGGAGGGAAGGAAAGGTAGGTTTCAGTCGGGAAAAACTCTTGGTAGCTGGAACTGGTTATATGTTAGGTTCTGTGAGGTACAAGAGGGAAGGAGGAAACATATAAAAAGATCTTGTGTGGTTTAATGCATGAGTTTGGGCTTTATGTTGTAGATGACTGAAAATCACGGAAAGGTTTAAACCTAAGAAGACATGATCAGATTTTGTTTCTGAAACCTTCTGTCATGACAGTGGAGAGAAGCAGCAGAAGGCGGTGATCAGGAAGGAAGCTGCTGAAATAGCTAAAAATGAATTTGAAATCAGAGATGGTGGAAATGGGTTTAGAAGAACATAAGTTAAAAAGAAAAGATGCTGAATGTGAAAACTGAAGTAGAGAGGAAGGCTTGAAAGACTCGAACTTTTGGCTGGCCAAGTAGCTGCGTGGAAAGTAAAGGTGTTCGTCAAGATATGAGTCTTTAATATTTACCAAGTGCTCATTATGTGCAAAGCACTTTTCTAGGCCCTGGGAATTCAGCTATCAACAAGACACAGGCTTGTCTAAGAGAATTTAGACTGGAGGGCAGTAGAAACATAAACAGGATAGAAAAAAATTGCAATAAGTAGTAAGAGGGAAATAAACAAGGGGCTTACAGAAAATGAGCAGGATTCAACTTTGACTGAAGTCATCACAAAGGCCTCTCTGAGCAATTTAAGACATAAAAGATGATGGGGGGGGAAACTAGTGTCTAGTGAATGTGTGTACATTTAAGCTTCGGTCTTGGGGAAAGGCAAGCGTTCAAGGCAGAGCAAAGAGCAGGCATGAAAGCCTTGGAATGAGAGTGCTTGACAGGTAGACCAGCAGAGCGATGAACTGCTGAGAGTGGTGGACAATGATTTTGCAGGGGCCAGAAACGGTGTTTGAAGGCCATGCTCATGAGAAAGGAATTACCAGTAAGACAGACAGGAGAGGGAGAGAAATAACTTTAGGAGAATGGCCTGAAGTTCCTGAGTACTGGGGGAGAAAGTGGGTTGCTTCCATTTTGTGATACCAGAAGTTGGGTTCATTGCCAAGCAGCCTGGTTTTGTGCTAGAAAGATCAGAGGCTCATATCTAAAAGATTCTGTTTTCTCAAGCACAAAAAAGGACATGAGCTGAATGACAGTGGGGGGACCTGCTATTAGAGACACGGTGACAGAGGAATGAAAATGGAAAACAGTCATTTGAGAAGTGGGACCTTGGAAAGTCCAACTATTAGGGAGCACAGGAGGGTTGTTGGCAATGCCAAGTGCTGCTTTAAGGTTCAGCCCCCCAGTGTGAAATGAGGCCACAGAGCGGTCTCCAGCAGTCACGGCTGCTCAGTAAAGGCACAAGGAAGGTAGGCAGCAGAGTTCATCCTGGCTAAGGGCTTTTCTAGGCCCTCCACAGGTAGTTCAACCACAACCTTAAGTGACGACTGTTTTAATGGACTGGGTTTGGAAGCCACATCAGAGTGGACATCACTGACATCCATTGAGATGCGAATGAAACGTGGAGGCATGGAATGCTGACCCTTTCCACGGTGCCGTTTTGGAGAAGAGCAGAACGAGAAAACAGAAGGTAAAAGTGGTTAATAAAGAGAATTTTCTATCACATGTAGTGGTAGTCAGCTCTTGGTCCCCCTATCAGGACACCTGAGATTTACAAAGGTTTATTTTGTCTCATGGCTTTAGAGGTTAGAGTCCACGATCAGGTGGACCCATTGATTTTAGGCTTTCGGTGGGGTTTCTGGAGGCCAACAGCAGGGAGTGTGTGGTAGAGCAAACTGCTTACCTCATAGCCAGGAAGCAAAACAGAGAGGAAGGAGCTAGAGTTTGTTAGCAGACACATTCCCCAAGACACAAGAACCTCCTAAAGGTACTATCACTTCCTGATAGTGCCATTCTGGGGGCTAAGCCTTTAAAACACAGGGGTCATTCAAAACCCAAACCATAGTACATGTTGGTGGGTATGACTAGGAGAGAGTAAGAAATTAATTGTAAAAGAAAGCAGAAACCTAAACAACAGGTCAGTCCTTGTGGACACAGAAAAGATGGAATTAGGAAAACAAATAATTGCCTTAAACAGGAAGAAGGGTAAAAGTACAGTTAAAGATATAAAAAAAATGCCACTGATAACAAGAATTGCTACCACTTATTGTTTGTTTGTGCTACATACGACTGTAAAGGCTTTACAAGACCGACTTTACTTTATCCTTACAGCAACCCTTCATGCCAGGAAAGATTAAGTAGCTTGTCCAAGACTATCCAGATAGTAAATGGCAGGTCCAGGATTCCAGCCCAGGCACTACTATTCTCGATTCCTAGTCCTTAACCTTTATATTATACTGTAGTTGGGAAGAGGAATAAATGAAATGTGAAAAGTTCACACCTTATAGTTTTCATTGGCTTTGTAATTTTGGAGACAAGATCATCTGGGAAAGAGGCCTCAGGGAGTGGATTAAGAAAGACAACAAGGTTTCTGGAATAGCCACTTAAGGGAATGGGAAGGAAGCTCCCCGGTGGTGCTCAGAGGCTAGTTGCGAAAGGGCACCATAATACTTGCAGAGACACCAACTCATGCAGTTGAGTAATCCCTTCTTCCTTCAGGTTCTCAGGAGCCTGGGTGAGAGGCATTCAGGCGAAGGCACTTGCCTATCATACAGTGTAGAGCATTTTCTGATAGAGGGAACACAGGGGAACTGTGATAATTATATTATGATGTCAACCTCAATATGAACTGTCTAGCAGACTGACCTGGCAGTTCCGGGTAGGTCCAGATGATTGATTTACTGAAGACAGAAGACCCACCACGGGTGTGGGTGGTACCAATAGGCTTGTAGCCTGGACGGAATAAAAAGGGAAAGTAGAAGGAACTTTTGTCCCTGCTTCTTCAGAGAAGCTCCAGTCGGATGCTATCTATTTTATGTTAAATCTGCTCCTCTAGTGAACCCTGGACACAGAACAGGAGCAGAAAGAGAACTGAGTGTGGTGAAGGGGTAGGGGTTAGGCAGGGTGGCTCCATCTATGGGAACAGTTGCTGAGGGGAGGGATAAATACTGATGGAACTATTAAGGACAAGAAAACAGACAGCAGGGATGTGAATGGCCTTATGTTGTAGTAACATCGTATATCAAAGATCAAATATCTACTTGGGGTCACCATACAAAGGTCACTGTGAAAGGTAAGTTAAAATAAAAATGGGAATAGTCCCCGTCTGATTTTTCTTCTCAGCTAAGCACAGCTCTCTGAAGGACAAGGAACATGATCATGCTTAGTTATACCCACTCCAGTGCTTTACTCAATAAACACTATTAAGAACTCATCTCTCAGATTAAGAAAGATACCGTATCAGAGGTTACAAACTAATATCTTGAGGACTAAATTGAACCCCTAGGAAATGTTTTATTCTGTCTGTGCAGTGCTTACAATTTTAAAATCAAGAGATCTCATACAAAATGTTTCTAGTCTTCACTCAGAAAAGCAGAAATGGACATTGGGCCCATAATCCCATATTGCAAAAAATGTTGGAGTTGTGTGATGTCACCTCCTAAAAGACAGGCCAAAGGGTGAACTTAGAATCTTTTTTGGTCTTCCTCTAAAAACTTGGGCCAATCCAAATGGCTAGATTCTCCACAAAACCCGGCACGAGTCACCGTTTGTTTGAAATTACCTTCCTCTTAGCAATGATTCCACCAACAGGTTGGTTTTACTTTCCTCATCCTTCAAACACACCTGCCAAACAGCCTCAATGATCTGTCCTGAGATAAAGTGTGGATGAGGAAGTGGACATGACCTGTTAATCACAAAGTTCCAGGACACGCACAGGTCAGTTCGCAAAGCCGAGTGGTAACTAACAATCGGAGTGCTATTTCAAGTCTCCTCAGGAACTCAGCACCAGGAGTGGGAAATAAACCCACTGTGTTGTCTCATGTTGGTCCACTCTCCCCTTGCAGAGTTTACTACTACTTTTAATTAGCCCAAAAACCCCTCTACACAGCATGTTTTCCTCTTCTACCTTTAATACAAAAACCTCACTACCATTTGCCTTTCTGTCCAGTTCTTTGTTCAAGACAAGAAAAATCTAGAAAACACCTCTAGCATAAGTCACCAGAACCCCAAAACCTGGTAACAGGACTGTATTCAAGATCTTTTCCCACCCCCTTGCCTATCCATTTTTGGTGTCCTCTTTACTAATTTATGAAGTCACTTTTTAAAACAAGATAATGACTCAAATGTGTAGAAATAACATCTCCAAGGTTTTATCACTTTGGGGGGCCTTGAGTCCTCATAGTAACGAAAAGAATAAAGCAGCTCATTTTAGGAGGGTGCCTTCTTTGCCTCTTATGCAGGGCGAATCGTATCATACCCAAATTATTTGTCTAATAGGTCTAGCCTCGCTTTGCAGTTCAGGCTGGCCTCAAACTCAGCCATCCTCCTGCACACCCACCTGACTTCTGGTTAAGGAAGAATTATGTCTCATAACCTAAGCTGAGGCAGGTAAGGTGCAACTCCAAAGAAAGGCGCTGACTCCGAGGCACAGCAACTAAACTTGAGGCGGTCAGTGCTCGCTCCAGTTCCGCTAGGAGCCTGAGAATTCCTTCTTCGGCCTGTCTTGCCATAAGCACCCCAGTTAAGTGGCCCAAATACTCTCACTCCGCTACCTTTCCGAGTCTGCAGCCCAGATCCCGTAGGACCGGGATGCCTTCGTCACCCACGCTGCCGCGGGTAAATCGCAGAGGCCCCGCCCCACATCCCGCGACCCCGCCCCGCTGCCTGGCCAGCGACCTCGGAATACCCGGCCTCTACGGGCCCACCCCTACCTGCGCTTCGTATCGCCGCGAGCAACAGTCTCCTTCTGGAGCGTGGCATCCAGACATGGCACTGGCGACGGGGACCCGCTGCCTCCAACCCCCGCACAACACAGCGCCTGGAACACCGCAAGGGCTCAAGTGCAATCAGGCGGCGCTAAGGGCAACCCGGAGGCGGGACGCATCGTGCAGGAGGCGGGGTCCGGGAGGGCAACGCTGATTGGGTGAGTCCCTGGCGTGGCGGCCCATTGGAGGCGTGGCCAACGATGTTGGAGGCGGTGCTAAGTACCTCTTCCGTGAGACCTACGAGTTTGGAGGGAGGCGAGGGGCGTGGCAAGCCAGAAAGGAGGCGTGGCTTTGGAGGGCCTAGAAACTGGAGATCAGGCGGTGCTGCGGGCAGCTCGGGAGAAGGCCGGGAAGATGGCGGCCTCTTGGAGGCTGGGTTGTGACCCGTCTCTGCTGCGGTATCTCCTGGGCTTGGCCAGCCGGCGAAGCTTGCGGCTGGTTGAGGGCTCTGTCGGTTTCTCTGTCGGCCGTGGATCTAGCTGGAGATGGTTTCACAGCACACACTGGCTGCGGGGTGAGTGTCCTGGGCTCACTCAATTTCCCTGTGTAGCTGAGCAATGGGCCTGGGCCCTGGGCGTTCTTGATTGACGACCCGCGTCTAAGTGTGGAGGTGCTGGGTCTCCCATATTACTTTCGCTCTTTCTCTTGCTATCTAGTGACTTGGCTTCGTGCGTGCAGCATAGGGCTGTCCTGGAAGCTGGAACAGCTTGACTCTGTCCCTGGCCCCCTGATTTGTATGGCTTCTTTGTGACCTTGCCTTGGAATTTGGGTTATTTGATAAGCATCAAGAGAGATCCATTTTAAATGCTCTTCTCTCAGGCCCCCACAACAATCACATTTTAGGGTCCTTTCATGTTGTCAAGCATATCTGGGTGAGAAAAGCTGCTCAAGGTTCCTTGGATTCGAAAGCTACTATTGTTTTATTCAGTGTCAAAGTTCTTCCTTTCTGGAAGATCTAAGATCTTGGAGGCTAGTCGGTTTGTCCCACTTGATTGACACGTAATTTCCAAGACTCAATTTGTCAATATTTACAGCACCACAGATGTAGGGGCCAGGAGAATGTTCCAAGTAAAGCGTTCGCTTGAAATAATGAAAATTTAGTACAGAAATCATACTAAGTTATAGAAGATTGCCATTTGGTAATGATACGAGCACAAAAAATATGCTTCTTAATTAACAGCACAGTAGTATGTCAGTATGTCAGGCACACTGGGCCTGGGTAGGAAATCAAGGTGAGGGTGGGAGGTGGATAATAAAAGCAACAATTTTTAGTGTGACTTGTTATCTGCCTGGCATCGTTCTTGGTACTTACTTCTTGGAGTGGTGGCTCTGTGTGTAGCAGTCTCACTCTTTCATCTCCCAGTTTGTTAAATTGGACTTTCCTACAGCTCCTAGACATTCTGCTTCAAAAGGAGCTTGGGAACCTGCATTTTACAAACACCCTTAGGTGAGTTTTGATGTTTTGGTGCTTGATGAACTACACTGTCAGACTCCCCGTGAGAAAATCGGGAATGTTAAATGCCAGCGCTGGAAATAATCCAAGAGATTCATACCCTTGTTTGTAAAGGAACCTTTGGAGAATCTTTGAATGCTCCAGACTCTTTACGAAGAAGAGCATATGTGGTTACACACGAAAATGTGCGTGAAGTTTCAAGGGTTTTCTGATGCCTGATGTATCTTGATTTTTTAACCTATTCCTCATCCCCTGGCTGCAGACATAGCCTTGAGCAACTTGTCTAACTGAACATCATGACTAAAGGAGAGGGTACTACATCCCAAGGCAAGTTGCATTACTTTCCTATCTGGTGCCACAAAATAGTGGCTTAAAATAACACAAATTTACCGTAGTAACAGTTCTTGTGGCCAGAAGACCAAAACAGTGATATCTAGCAGGGGCTTTGTTCTTTTCTGGAAGCTCTAGTAGAGAATCTGTTTCTTGCCTCTTCCAGCTTCTAAAGTTTTCTCAGTCTGGCTCATGGCTCCCTCCCATTTTCAAAGTCTACAAGGGCTGGGCCATTATTTATCACATCACATCTCTCTCCTTACTGCCTCCTGCCTTCTGTCTTCCAGGGGATCTTTCTTATTATACTGGGCTGGATAATCTAGGATATTCTCATTTCAAGATAAGTTGATTAGTTACCTTAATTCCATCTTCAATCTTAGTTCTCTCTGGTCATGTAACATAACCTATTCACAGGTTCTGGATATTGGGATGCAGACCTCTCCCATGGGTGGTGGTGGTGGGGTCATTATTCTACATGTAAAGCTGTGTTGTTGGACAGCCAGCTCTTAAGTTATTTGGAAAGTTTAGATTGTTTTTTCATAACACTGAGCCAAATTTTTTCTTGTAACTTTCACCTAGAGGTTTTCGTTTTGCCATTCTGGATACACATGGCAGTCCTTGAACTGTGTGTTTTACAAAACATGAATATACAATGGTATTCTTTTTTCTTTATGTATATCCAGTTTTTCTCTGAGCTAGGTGGAAATTGTAGTCTAATAAAACTAAGCAGCTGTTTGGTTAACTGTAGGCTCTATGAATTAAGTATGCTAAATGATTTTCTCTTTCATATTTCTATATAGGATTTAAAAGTGTTATTCGGTGGGCCGGGGATAAGGGTTATTTGGAAGAACCCTTGAAGTTTTGGTTTCTTTAAAAAGTGTTTGTTGGTAGCATTTTTATGAACTATATGTCATATGCCAAATGTTTAGCACTTTCTAGAACTTTATTCATTTCTCACAACCTAGTAGTATATTTGGCATTATCAGTACTTCATTGGATAAAAATACTGAGGCTCAGAGAGATTAAGGTCAGAGAAGTTAAATCGTACAGCTATGCTATTGGTGAACTAAAAGTATATGTGTATTTGTTTATGTTTTTAAAAATCTTAGTTTTTTTTTTCTTTCAGCTAAAACACTTATTGAGAAGGCAGAGCCTATCGAATCCTCGCTTGTGTGATGTTATTTGAGTAAATTAATGAGCATCTATTATATGCCGGGCACATGATAGCCTGTTTGTCTTCTGACTAGAACAGATTCTCTGGATTCTGCCATATGGCCCGTCTGGTCATATTTAGCTCTTATGATCCTAAAGTTGATATAGGCCTTACCTTTAAGATATTTGTAGCCTGCTTGGGAGATAACAATAAAGGCTCGGTATCAGTAGTGTGTACAGTAAGCTGTCAGGATTAACACATTTACTATGGGGCCATTGGATGCCCGATGGGACAGTCATGCATGTAACATCTGTGGCTCAAGCAAGTGGGAAAGTGTTGAGGATGATAAGGAAGTACAATACTACACAGAGGACGAAATGGCAACTCTTCCAGACTGAGGGAATAACAAAACCAAAAGCCCAGAGGTCATATATGGTACTTACCAATCTGACTTCACATTTGTAAATTTTTTTTCAACCTACTCTAGGCAGGTAACTTTGAAGTTTGTGTTGCTGCCCTTTCAGAGTAGATGGCGTGATTTGGAATTTTAATAAAATGTTAATTAATAATACATTGGCCTTAGGGTGTCTCTGAGGAATAACATTGAATTTAAAATCCTATGCAAATAGAAAAATAAATGGTTCGATTTTGACAGTGATTTGCCTAATATATAATTACTGTATTGGCCTTGCATATTATAGGTATTAAACATATCTAGGAAGGAGAAATACAGGAAGCTTTTAAAAGACTCTAAGGTCTATACCGTTAGTAGTTCAATTTGACAACCATTGGGCTGACTCACTTTGTTTTAGAAGAAAATTAAATTTATTGATAACATTTAAAATCTAGAAAACTTTACAAAAAAGGTTCATATTTTTGTCTTCTCTTGAAAATTTAAAATTAGATTATACCCTTTCTGGTGCACAGAAGGCGGGACGGGGCTCTGGGCCGAGGTCCCGCCATGTAGAGCGGAAGATGCGGTGGAGCTGCAAGTGGCTCTTGCACCCTTTTTTTTTTTGCCCTTTTTGCCAGTCACTAGCTTCACTTTACTGGTGTGACAAATGATTAACTTTGATTAATCAAGGAATTCAGTGTTGGAGTCACTAACCACGAGCACACGCTCACAAGGAGAATTCGTAGTTCAGCAAAAGTGGGCCTCTGATATCAAGAAATAATTTGAGAGAGTGGGTTTGGAAATAAAAAGCATTCATTGAGAATTTACCATGTAGCATGCACTCTTCCAGTCACTTTATGTGAATTAACTCAGTAGATGCTCTGGTGATAGAGTTCCATTTTCGACAGATGTCTTCCCGACCCCAAATCCTGTTAACTTAAGCACGGTCTGTTTCAGTGTCAAGTGACTGCTTGATCATAGCAGAACAGTGTCAGCATGCTGAAGTTTTACTTACCATTTGTATATCCTAAGTGAACACCTGTACTTTTTGCATTTTATGAAATGAGACACGTTTTGGTAGTAACTACATTGTGAAATACTATTTCAGGGACAGTTGTGATATGACTATCATTTTACCACAATTTAATAAAATTCTAGAGCATATATAGGGAAGCAGGACTAATAGAATTAGAATGTAAGTTAATTTTTTGCTATTTTTAAGTTTCTAAGATAATATGCTTCCCTCTCTACCCCTTTGTTACTGGGGATTGAACCCGGGGCCTTTACACTGAGAGCTACATCATTAACTCATTTTTAATGTTTTATTTTTGAGACATGGTCTTGCTGAGTTACTGACTTGCCCAGGCTGGGCTGGAACTTATGATCCTCCTGCCCCACATGCACAGTGTTGGGGTTACAGGTGTGTGCCACCACACTCAGCTACAATAATACTCTCTTAAAGATTCCTTCTGATTGTTATCTTTATTTTTTTATAGCAAAATGTGTAAATTCCCCAAATGTGTGTATTTATTTCTTTTGCCAGACTTATAAGTAATGATTTCTTTTTGTCCGTGTTCCAGAATTGCAAAATAAAAGCCTCATGCAGGATTTTAGTCTTACAGTTTAATAATTTACAGCTGAAATGAAGTGTTGGTATTATTTCATTCAGAGGAAGTATTTTCCAGAGTGGTGACCTACTTAACAGTTCCAGCTGGCCTCCTTTCAAATGTGCCCTTGGATACTTTGTGAAGGTGCAGGAAAGAATCAAGATCCCCTGAACAAGATAGCGTGTATGGTGATTTTGGAGGGTAGGCAGTACATGTATCGTGGCTAGTGATCTACTTCATGCATTTTGTAACTTTATAGATAGGGATTCTATTACATGAAACATTTCTGGGGGAAAATTGGGATCAGCAAATGTAGCATTCAGGACAATTTGCTGAGGCATTTACTCACTCTGGCTTTTAAAGGGGCACAAGTCCATTTAAAAACTGGAGAAAAGTTTCATCACTTTTTTAGAAAAGAATATACATGCGAAATTGTGTATGATTCCAAGGGATTAAAATTCTCCTATAATTTACCCATAAATACCATCTAGTCTCAAGTCTACCCATAAACATTTTGTCCATTTCCTACAGAAAATAGTTATGCTTTTTTACAAGGATATTTACAGCTCTGAGAACA